AAAAAAAAGAACGAATTAATGGATAAGTAGCATGTGAGGTGAGACGCCGTCGTTTAAGTAACGAACCAAGGCTCAAAACGACGCCACTTTAAAAAACTATATATAATAACCGTACGAGGCAACTTCCTCGTCTCTCTCGTCCTTCACAGTTCGCCCAAAACCCAAATGCAATCTGCGCGAGGCACTTTTTCCCGCGCATCTTTCCTGGGATTCGATGCCTCCGAAAGCCGACGGAGCCGAAGGTAACAAATCAATGGCGACAACCAATCTTTTCGGTCTATTCTCTTCAATTCGGAGATTTCCACTCCGAAATTAAGCTCAACTCATTCCATATCCGAGTTCGTTTCTTACTCGACAACTCTACTTCTCGGCAACTGAGAGCTCAAACAACCAGTAGCCCTCACCAGAGAAAAGATAGAGGTAGCACAGAAGGGGAATGTTGTCATAGAGAAAAATGCTGACGGAGAATACAGAGATGAAGATGATGATGATGATGTGAAAAATAAGACAGGTGAGATCGGTGGCCCTGGAGGCCCTGAGCCTACTCGTCACGGTAATTGGTACCGCAACGGTTGCTGCTACGATTTATGAAAGATTTCATCAATTTATCCTCATAGCATTCTGATCTGAAGTCAATTCAGACTTCCAAATCCAAGCTTCAAGCAGCATCTTCTGCTCTTCATCAATAACGGGTACTCTCTTTGATTCTTTATTATTTTTATTGTAAAGTTATGATTATGTCCATTTCATTAATAGTATAAATTAATGATTCATTTTTCATGAGATTTTGAGCAATTTTTCTTAATCTTGTTTCTGGTCATTGTTCGTTTGTTTCCGTTAAACAAATTTGGGAAACAATTCTTCTTCTGAATTCAGACATTCTCCTTTGCTACCATTTACACACTTTATGAAGAACTAATTTCATCTCCATTGCAGCATAACCATAGATGTTATTATAATTTTATCCATGCATTTAGGCGGTAGGTGTAAATTGCTTCTTTTCAAGCCCTTTTAGCAATTAATGAATAGTATGTGTTTAATTTGTTATATCCATTAATGAATATTGAACTTGAACAATCCTATTTGGTTAATTGAAAATATGCAATAGCATAAACCAAAGTATGATATTCAAACAATAAATGGTATGGTGAACCCTGCTACGACAGAGGGTTAGGAAGCATCACCAAACT